TAAAAAGTTCAGCTATGTAGAGACTTTTCAGTGTTGTGTCGTTTACCCGCAGTCTCGGGTTTTTTTCAACCATGTGCAATGTCCAGCTCGTTTGCGCCCTTACTTTTTGTTCATCACAAATCTTTTCTAATGTGCGTGACCACCGACGCATCTTCGCTTCCGAACGAGCCTGAATGGTACACGGAGAGTGGGAGCAAGTCCATGGAAGCTATATAAGTACTGACCCAGTGACCTGTTGCCATGACGTTACTGCTCGATATCCTAGCTAATAAATATCGCGCCGACAATGTTTTAAGTTATGAAAGGACCTGCGCTATTTCAAGAAAAAAAATTCAAATATTTCTTTGAACATATTTTATTTGCTCTCTCACCACCTTGACCTCAAGTCACTTGTGGGGAAATGAATGATGAGTATTGTGGGGGCGAAGTGTTTAAAAGCGGTGCCGGCGCCAGGTCTTTAGACGGAACATGTGAGAAACAAGAAGTATCATGTGGGCTCCGGCTTTCGGCATATTATTTGTTCATTGTTTAAGTTTCTCAATGTAACTAAAAATGATCACGCACTAAACCCAACGCGCTACAGTGATTTTATTTGAAATTACTGATATTTTTTTAAATACAACCCGTCAAGACCCGAGTTCCCGAATGACTCCTTGAAAAGTCCAGTTTCTTCCGGATTGTCAGGTTTAAGAACTGCTCCCGATATTAACTCCACTAGTATTCACAAACATAAAACGGGAAAACGAAAACCTCTAAAAACACACCATATTTTAATTGCGACAAGTAAAGTCACGCTGGTTTACAAGAGTGTAAAAATATACGCATGCAAAAAATGTAGACAAAAGTTATTTATCTTCAGCACTGACGCACAAATACCTATTTAAATACAAAAAAAAAGGTTATAATCTGCGGGCCAAAATATATATATTAAAAGCCCGAGGAAAAATATAAAATAAATGATGATTTGTCTACGCCTCCATGGTCCACAATACCGCCGAGATGCATCCGAGACAGTAAAGGCCTGTTCACACATACAGCGGAGCGCTAAGTTAGCGCTACGTGAGCGCTCCATGGAGCGCTCATGTGGCGCTTCCTAGCGCGTGACTTAGTTCTAACATAGCGCGCGATTAGCGCTTCTGTAGCGCCTTGTTAGCGCTCCAGTAGCGCCTTGTTAGCGCTCCTGCAGCGCCTTGTTAGCGCTCCTGTAGCGCCTTGTTAGCGCTTCAGTAGCGCCATGTTAGCGCTTCAGAAGCGCTTCTTGTACCGCGGTGCTGCGGATTAGCACAGAGCTCTTTCGAAGGTGATTATTTTTTTAACTGCGTGTCTTTGAAACCAGGGTCACGCATATCAAATAGAAAGCGATGAGGTCGTACCCAATCAATTAGTCGCTCAGAGTCCATGAGTCTGGATCGTGTGCCCGGCCCTTTGCTTGGAGAACGGCTCTCTTACTTCCTCTTCTTTCAATGCCAAAGCCAAAACAACAACAACGGAATCGACGTGCACGTGCTGTACCGCAGCAGCAAGCACGATACAAGGAGCGTGAGAGCGCTAACAAAGCGCTTCTGTAGCGCTAACAGAGCGCTAACAAAGCGCTTCGGAAGCGCTAACAGACCGCTTCTGAAGCGCTAACGAAGCGCTACATCACGCGCTAGGAAGCGCCACATGAGCGCTCCTTGGAGCGCTCACGTAGCGCTAACTTAGCGCTCCGCTGTATGTGTGAACCGGCCTTAAGAACTTGAGTGAGTTCGAACCCAGCATAGCGGAATGCTCTCCTGGGTTCCCCAAGGATAGCATTCCGCAGCAGTTATCGCACCCGCCCGGCGCGATATTTTTGGCGCCACACCATTTTTTTTTCTTATTGCTACTGAACCAGGTCATTTTTTTTCTTTATTACAATGACAAGCAACAATTCACGTCAATAAAAGTTAAAAATGCACAGCAAGGTTTTTGCAGTGCATGTGAAAAAGCCCGCATATCAAGCAGCGCTTCACACAAGCGCAACCACTTTTAGGCTACCCTGTAGCAAAAACACTTTCGACCTTTTTGACGTGTAAAAAGCAATTGAAGCGTACTTCTTTGGTACTGGGGTCCGCATGCGGAACTGCCATGAGCGACCGCCAAATTACTGGACCACGTACTCCACAGGCAGCGTGAAGAGCATGAACCTTGCTTATGACCCTGAGTACAATCGCTCGGTGCAGCTCGTGGAGCTATATCGCGTGAATTGCATTCAGGAACGTTTCTGAATGGATGTACCATGAATCTAACTGGTTGAAGAAGTCGCGCATAGTCCCGGCCTCCTTAATCAACGCTTACTTTTTTCAGGGGCCGGCCTAGATTAATTTAATACCGCAAAGATCGTATTTCCCTCTCGACATTTCCCATAAAACTGAGCAAAATTTTAATCGCGTTTGGAACCACCTTTTGCCCTTTTTTTAGGCTCTCTTTTTGGTGTCGAGGTGATGTGAGCGCCCGTCAAGAACCCATGTCTGGAAACGCTTTGATAACTGCGGGCTCATATTTATTCTATGGCGAGAAAACGAAATTGCCATTGAAAATTTTGCAGGGTACCGGTGTCTGGAAGTAGATGGCGCAAGTGGATTATGTCCGTGATTGTTTGGTATGTTCTGCGGAGCGCAAACTTCCTCAATTGATTTCGTAACAACAATGCAGCGAGCTATTCTTTCGGCAGATAAGATCCATAAAAACATTTTACATCGCAACACGGTACCACAATTCGTATTTACCTTTGAATTATTTTTCTTGAACGCTCGAATGCGGAAGGTAACAAATTAAAATTTTGTTCTCGTAATTTGAGGCCCCGGAAACAATAATCAACGAAAATTGAAAGATGTAATTCCGCGAAGCTCTTACGGTGTTTTTTAATATTTTATTTATATATTTCGAATACGACCACTCTAACGCAATTGGGTTCAATATAGTTGCTGAGAATAAGGACCAAAAAGTTGCCATAGGAAATCTATGGGCCCTTCTATCGTGACATCCTCTTAACTACGCTGCAGTCATGCCACTCATACGTCATACAGAAGACACGAGCCGTGCTCTAAAATTTACAGGAGCTTACTCCAGAGTAAGTATGATATACCTTAGGCGTTCGAAAACCTACCCGCGTCTAGCGTCGCTTAATCTGCGTTATCGCGTGACACGACCCGCCGGAGTAAATCTGATCTATTCGGGTAGGATTGGAACGCTTTCCACTGTGTTCGCAGCAGGATCGTGTCTGCAGGCACGCCTTCGTGAGAATGTGCACCTAAGAATGGGCGTTTGCCTAAGCATAATATTCATCAAACTGATATTTGAGATTGTTGGTGCCTATACGAATTATATCAGTAAACAAGCTTGAAAACTTTATCGTCATTTTACCTGACAAGTTGTTTTTTTTCACTCAAATCAATTTTACAGGCACTCACAATCTGAAATATCGCTTTGATGAACACTAAATTTAGATTGCCGTCGGATCATGGAGTTTTTTTTTCTTCTGTGACTTTTGATCAGGCTTATTCCCGTTACTTGAAAAATGTAATGAATTACAATTAAATATTACCGAGCCTTAAATGTAATGTATTGCCATTACAACTTGCTTTCACTGAGAAGTGACGAATTAATTTGCTTGTTACGTTACCCATTACTTTCACGGTACTTTTTTCGCACACTTATCAAGAAAAAAGTAGAAACAATTTTGATGTTTTCTAAAATGATCTGCAAAACAACTTGTCATTGCTCCTGCATCACACCCGCCATCCCACTAGCTTACGGCAACCGGAAACGATCCCTTGTTTTCTGCAGACAAAGCTATCGGTGCGCATGCTCAGAAGCAGCATCTAACTCCGTTAGGAGATTCGGAGGTAACGAACCGATCAACGAGAGCTCCCTTTTATAAAAGGCCATTCAAGCGTGAGCGCAGCGTCTCAAAGCTGCGATCTCGCGCCTGTAGCGTTTGCGCACTGTCAGCTTATGCATAGATGCATGCAGGGCTAAAAAAACGTATGGCCGCGGGCGCTCGTTTCTGGGCTTTGGTCGAGCGGGTGGTCGCACATTCATTTGGCTCCAGTTTCTGTATTATGTGCGTACTTGTAAAAACAGTAAACAGTAATTAAAGTAATCCGTAATCAGCATTCGGAAACGGAATTACATTACAAATTACTGCCACTAAAAGTAACGTGGAAATTACAAAATTAGTTGAAAAAGAAAGTCCAAGGACACCTAAGCACTTCTTATGAGTTGTGAATGCGAAAGCATGAATGTCTTTCTTCCGCTCCCTTAGTTCGTCTGCGGCGTGGTGGCGTGAACGGTCAGGTTTCGCAACTGCAGAGGTTGCGGCCGATGGCCGAGCGCGCGCTCTCTTGAAGTGTCCGCGCCACGCTGGGCTTGACCGTACAGCCTATCCGGAGTTTGCCCGAGCGGGCTGCGCGGCCAGGTCCGCACCGCCGCACCTCTTACCGGCGGCCAGGTTGCGGCGTGCACTGCGCCGTCACGGAGAGGGCTTCTCTGGTGGTGTTTTTTGGAACTACGCCGCGCGAGAGCCACTGGGAGCCTCGTTCCTTTATGACACGCGCCAGTGAATGAATCATCAGATTTCTGCTACAGACGACAGGCTTCGATGCATTGGGGCAGGGGAAGGTGCCGTTTGGTGCGGCTTTAAAGCTGATGACGTCGGTTTGCTCCATGGGACCAGTTAATGCTTTCGCATTAAAAGTAACAGATTACAAATAATTCGTTACTTGAAACAGATTGCTGCCCAAGTCTGCTTTTGATTCATTTAACGTAATGTGCCAAAACTTTCGACTTTGATCAAAACCGCTAGCCTCGCCTGCTCACGGGAATTCAGCTTCTTGCGATGCGCAGTTCAGTTATACGAGTCGAGAAATCGGGTTTTATTTTCGCGATCTAACGCGGTAGATTGCCTATCAATTCGAACGCTCCAAATTTGTATTTATTATTTTATTTTTAAGGTATTTCATTAAAACGTTTTGAGAAAAATGACACTCAAGGCCCGGATCGAAAATGGCGTCGTCTATTCTCCGTACCCTTCGGAACCCGTGCCGGAGATGACGGTTTACCAGGTGGTGAAACACCGCCTAGAACAATATGGCTGCCGAACTGCTCTGGTAAGCTTGACAACATGCGTCGAATGTAACAGTGTTCTTGTATATATTTGTGTCGATAAAATATATGCTACATTGATGCAGAATTAACTAATGCATGGCTTGCACTGACGTCACATCAACGTCCATTATGGTGGCCTTACCATTGACGTAAGGCCCCCTTCTGGAACCTTCTGAAACCTTCTGGAACCTTCTGAAACCTACTGGTATATGCATTTCGCACCACCGAGTTTGTTTTTCTCGGCAATAACAAATGGGTTCGATCCAGAATGACCACCAGCACGGGGCAAGGACGTCACTCGTCGCACGTTTTTACATGCCTGCTATGGAACAGAGGCTAGGGCTTGAAATATAGCGAAGTTAAACATCGTTCACTGATGAAGAAAAATGCTGTAACTAAAACAACTACACAGTTACAATGTTGATAAAGGTATATACTATTTGGTACACGACCCAAATAACAAAAGCGATCCATGGTATGGTCCGGCGAAGAGACAAAATGAACGCGCGTTCCCCCATAGGAATGCACAGAAGCACTGCGAGAGTAGACTGGTTGCAGTCTGCTTCAACTTGCGTCCCGGAAGTCGCATAGACGCTAGCTCAAGTTGAACCTCTAGCTACATTATAACTCTATGTGCACGACCCCGGCACTGCTCTGATCTCGGAAAGGACTAGATCAGAACTCTCCGGACGAATCGAACAGACATAATGGCAGTCGATGGAACTGATATCAGATTCTATTGTGTGACAGGGGTGTAACTATGGCGCCTGGAACGCGTCTCCGACTGCTGTGTCTTCCACGTAAAAAACTGGTCTGTCCATTTCTGCCTGATGACGTCATACAAGTGCCATGCTGTCGCCAACAGCGATCTTGGCGGTGTGCCAGCAGCGGTGGTGGATGTGGCAGACGCCTGTTCTGCTGCAGGTCACCCTCTGGAGTGACAGTTCACGGAAATTTCCGCAGCCAGAAGTTGGGACGCCGCGACGACAGCGACACTCGCGTTCGCTCCTGCTTTTTGCCAGCATTTCTACGATTAGCCGCCAGGATCGCGACATTCAACAGCGTGACACTTCGGCTTCTTTGACGTCACTTGTTGCTACTCCGGGACCCCTTTTGATGTATGGGCAGCATAGGACGCTAATCATACCAGTTGGGAACGCGCTTCAGGCACCATAGAACAGTGGAAGCTGGGAGAGTTGGGCCAGTTGGCCAGTTGCCAAACTCGTGCGCTGCAAACCAAATGCGCGTGTTCAGGACGCTCAACACAAACACACACACAAACACACACACGCACACAGACACGCACGGGCACGCCGACGCACACAAACACACACACACAAAAGGACAGAGGGCATGTTGCATTCAAAACCCTCAAACAAAATGTTAAAAAAAAATACTTCTAAGCAACTTTTATAGCTTGAGGTGACTGGTTTCCCGGGCGCCCCGATGTCGCGCTCCTCGAAGCTTTTACTGAGCCTTTTTAGTGGCGCCCTCAGTTTTTGTCACGATAAACAAAGACGTTATAACAGCCCATCATTTTATTTTGTTTTTTTTATGTACTTAATTGCATGCTGACCTCCACTCTTTTGGGGTGTATTGTCGTAACAACAAAACAAGCAGAAAGAATAGCTCTTTAGTTTATTGGCATTGTAAGCTGGAAGTGTGCCCCCCCGGACGTGATTTCTTGCTATACAAAAACGTGAAATGCGTTTATTGGTTTAATTACTATAGAGCTTCCTCCACACCACTGTCGTTCATTTATGCAACATTGTGCTGCTAATCATGTCGTATTACACCTGAGACTGCGGTGGAAGAAATCGGAAGAACTTTCAGTAGAAGGAACAGACACAGAGAACGTCTCAAAGAGACGTTTGAGACGTTCTCTGTGTCTGTTCCTTCTACTGAAAGTTCTTCCGATTTCTTCCACCGCAGTCTCAGGTGTAATACGACATGATTAGCTACCACCAGCTCGCCTGCACTCTCACCGTCTTTTCACATTGTGCTGCTGTCGTCACCGGTGCGAATGTTGAAATTCATGCCGCTACTCTACCCGTAAAAACAGGGGTGGCACCATTTTTCTTGCATAGAACGTTTTCCACTCGCTCTTTTCTGTGGAGACGCAGCGACGAAGAGTAGTTTTCCGCTGGATCACGATAGCTCACTCTCTGTAATCGAACAGCACCGATACTCTCCAAACGTTCGATGTCCGCCTAACTTGCAACTCCTCCCAGCAACTTGTGAGTAAAACTGGAGAAAATAAATTTAAAGTTTTTTTGGAAGGGAACCCCTTATCCCAGATATACGTCCGTCCGTAAGCGCATTTACGCACTAGATTTAGCGGAGCAATTAACAACACGTAACGTCAGCTTAGGTGACGTCAACTCGCTCTCTAAATTTAGCGGCGTAACGTCATGGACGTGACCTGACGTCAAGTCGCACGACGTCATATCACGTGACGCCAAGTTCTCGACCAGATCTGGCCATAAAGTCGAGTTCAAAGTGTCACGCGATACCAAGGCGTCATGGGACGTCACGTGACGCAGCATATTTGCCCCATGGAGGCCAGCCTTAACGATGACGTCTTGCGCATGTGTTCTAGACGCTATTGCCATACAAGGGTGCCGCGGATGGAGTCTAAATTGTAAACATATTACAGGTCTGGAACGACGAAGACATCACATTTGCAGAGCTCCTCAAGATGTGTCAGCGATATGCCGCTGGATTCCAGGGACACGGCGTTAAGAAAGGCGAGAAGGTCCTGGTACATTTGGACAATTCCCTGGAAAACCTGATCGTCATGTACAGCGTAATTTTCGCAGGGGGAGTTGCGGTGGTATCCAATCCGATCTTGTCAAACGGTGAGGAGAAAATGTGATTGTGATTTTCCGGAAAAAATGTTTCATAGGAAAAATGTTTCGTAAAAAGGCGAAGTTTGTTGCTTTGACTTTCGCCAACTCAATCTGAAAATTAAAAGGGGAACGCGAGATTGCGACAGAGAAACTGTAAATGTGACATTCCTGTCTGCGGATTGTGCCACGTACACGTTTTTTTTTACTGCGTTAAGAATTTTGGTCTTCTAACACTGCTTTTATATGCACTCCAAATAGTGTTTACGGCTTCCGAACTTTCCCTAGATTCATTCAAGCGACTAGTGCGTTCAAGATATACTTGAACTCACAGCAGCGGGTGTCACGTTGGCGGAGAGAGTTTGTGCGCGGCATCTGTATATGTTCGTGCTGGAAAAAAAAAAAAGAAACCTAGGTTTCAGAAGTTGTAAAAGAAATAAGTAAACGTTGTGACGATCTAGTCTTACTCTGTGGTGATAGGAATGCACATCACAGCCTTTGGGGATCAAGCAGAGATGATAGTCATGGTCGGGGTTTAGAAAAATGTTTCGAAGACCTTGCTGTTGCAAATGACGACGCTCCGATATTTTTCGATCTCCTGATACGTATTGCGCCATCGACATCATTGCTCATTCTACAGGCTTATGCGTAAGCTGAACGACATACCCAGATACGACAGGCAGCGATCACTATCCGAAATATTTTGAGCTGTATGGAGTCCATGCAACTAAACATCGCATCATCCACGTTACCCAGTGGAATTCAGTTAAATCCACACATTGAAACATCTTCAGAACCCATATTACAAGCAATCATATGGTTAGCTCAGATCAATCTACGAGTACTATCAAGATAAAGCTCCAAGACCACAATCCAGAGCCTGACCTCACGTTTCTCTTTGTGCAGTGCGAAAACAGGCCGAACAAAAACTCCAAAGAAAGTAGTCCAGCATTTAAAAAAGATATATATTTGAAAGAGATTAATTCAGCAGCAACCCGATATGCTAAAAAAACAAAAACAACAACACGTAATCTAAACACTGAGTGTTTATGGGCAAGCGCGATCTGCACCTATCACACGCATCGATGGCGTTTGGTCTGGGTACATGTCAAAAAAAAAAAAAAAGCTGCATAACGATTTGAAGACCAGTTTTGTTTTATTGAAAACTAGACAGTCAAGATGTACGACACTGTGACCACCTCGTCCCCACAAACGCTGCCTTCAACATCGAAGAACTAATATCGGCTTTAAGAGGTGAAAAGAAAAACTGCTCCTGGACCGGATGGAATAACAAACCAGGTGGTGCAAAGCGCACCAAATGGACGTCCTCAAGAGCTTCTTTAGATATTGAACTATATATGTAACACAGCTGATATATCAGAAAAATGGAAAGCATCTTCGGTTATTTTAATCGACAAGCCAAATAAACCACGTGACGCACCGGCCATCGTCATACCAACCCATTTTACTCACTTCTTGTATAATAGCGCTTATGCAAAGAATGATGCATGCTCGCCTCACTTGGTGGCTTGAAATGGATCACTTCTTACCACACGAGGTGAAGGAGGGAATCAGGCGTGGCCTATCTTCTCAAGACAGTATTGTAGACCTGCTTAGTGTAATTGGAGTACATCACTAATACAAAACATCGACATCAGCAGTATTTTTCTATGTTACAAAACCTACGATAACATTAATCTAGCCGTTGTTTTTGAAACGTTTCTGTATCACGGGAAAAGTTAAGGCGTTTCTGCAAAGCATCCTCACCAACCAAACGCTCTATGTTCGACTTGCTTCTTTCCCATTACTTCGTGCAAATGTGCTCAAAGTTCGCCACAAGAAAGCGTTTTTTCGACAATCCTTTTAATCATAGTTCTGGCCAGACTACCGACATCTCTCGTCAGGTACACTTCCCGCATCAATATATCACTGTATGCAGATGGAATTTGGATCTGGCACATCGGCATCATGGTCTTTGAAACGCCGCCCATGCAGCCGTTGCGGAAGCAAGCAATTATATACACGATTTTGGTCTACAGATCTCTCCGGAGAAAACCGCGTTTATGCGTTTTCCTGGGAAGGGCCAGAGAGGCACGAAAATAAATATGACTATGTTGCTGCTGCCGTGGCAATAGCAGCTAAATCACGATGGCAATGTTGTGCGTTGTGAACAGAAGACTGGAATTATCGCCGATGTGACCGTGTGTTCGCTTATTAGGGGTGTAACAATACGGTATGACGTAAATTTTCGGGCATTGACGCCGCCGGTGTGGCCTTGATAAAGAGGAGGGGGGGGGGGGCGGCAGCGAAGTGTCGTAGGTAATAATTCCGATTTACATTTAGGAGTTTAAGACCGTTTGAGGGTTTGCGATGTAGTCGATCGACCTGCCGATAGTCATGTTGTAACGCTGGTCTAAACCGTAGCTCCTATCGTACCGCGGCCAATGTGTCTTTCGTCTGCAAAGTCCTGTTGTCCGCTCCCCGTGAACGATTGCGCTCTGGGGAAACGACTGTACAGTGTAAAAATGTGACTCAAAGTACGCATATTTACAGTTTGGAATTTCAGCATTAAGTGAAGATTATAGTTAAAACCGACAAAAAAAAGCTATTTATTTTGCTGTTTAAATATACGACAGTTCCTGAAGAAACTGCCCTCCAAGTGGCGCGCTAGGGTGATTGCTGGAAGTTTTCGAGTTCGCCACCGCGTAGCTCCGTACACTTTCCCCCTGACGCAAGTCGCGGCTTTGACTGCATTCAAGTTGATCGAAAAGCGATTACCCTACCCGTGAAGCTTCGCTTCCACCTGAGTGAATATCCTCTCTGCACAGATTAATTCAAACGACAATTGCAGCCGCACGCGAACAGCCCAAATAGAAAAAACAAACACTACAATAGAAATGCTGACTACGACATGCCGTGCGGGGAAGCAAAAACATGGCTGGGAACCGCAATGGAGCGTTATATTTTATTGACTTTCAAAGAATTACGGCATCAGTGTTTCCTTTTGACTAAGAAATTCATCCCCTAAGCCGTTCAAACTACTGTCAGATGTATAATATTACTGAAGAAAAAGCTCGACATGCTGGGAGTATTATTTACCTCTTAGGGTCACCGAGAAAATACGTACCTTCAATAAGACGAGTATACAAGGCGGAAACGCAGAGCTCAGAAGTAGTAATCTGGTTAATTGTGTTGTTGTATTGATGTTAGTATGTGCCGCGTATGTGTATTCTCTCAATATGTATGTTCAGCTGATCCTGTTAATGTGAGTAATGTACCTACATTACTCACATATGTGTATAATTAAAGCGATTGAAGGACCCGAAGCGAATTGTGGCGTGATCAAATAAAAATATTTGTTTTTAAAGAATTTATTTATTTTTATAGAATTTATAGAATTTTCTTATAGATTGGGTGGTACCTAGCGGCACCTAGCCTAGCTACGTGATATTACTCTGCTTGACCCAGTCATTTGGTGGCAAGCGATGTAACCTTCTTTCATGCTGCGCTATAATTTCTTAATTTCTTATTAATTTCGAAGCAACTATTGCACATAGCTGCTTCGAAATTACTCTTTTCGGAGCGGTTTTTGGTTTCGCGAATAGTTTATCACTTTTCCGTGACGTGCGGTTGACGAAGGAATTGTGGCACGAGTAATTTGTATTTATTTTTATTTATTTTATTTATACATACTGCAGCCCCACTGGGGCTATGGCAGGAGTGGGAGTTAAACACAGACGGTCCGGACATCACTGTGGACCACTGTCAACGGCACACAGAAATTCATCTGGTTGTAGTGATCGGATGTTTCCTGGTAATAAATTCCAGCGTTCAATGGTGTGAGGAAAAAAACTGTATTTAAACATATCAGTACGAGGATGAAAAGGTAAAATGTTTAATTCATGGTGGCTCCTAGTTGCAGTTGGCTCGAGAAACTTTATGTAGTTATGTAACGAGTCAAAACGTGATGAGTTAACCATGAAATACAGAGACTTTAGGCGCTCGATACCACGACGCTCAGAAAGAAGTCTTAGGCCTAACACGGAAAGATTAGAAGAAGGAGAAAAGTTTCTGTCATACCGACGACAAATAAAACGTACCGATTTCTTTTGTACTGATTCGACCTTATTTATATCGGACTCTTTGTAGGGAAACCAAATAATAGAACCATATTCGAGGATTGGGCGAATCAAAGTTTTAAAAGTTAAAAGCTTAGTATCTTGTGGTGCCACACGTAAGGTACGCCGCAGGTATCCAAGTCTTTTAAGAGATTTGTTACATGTCGTATCAATGTGCTTAGACCAAGATAAATCAGGCGTGGAAAGGAGGCCAAGATATTTATATTCAAAAACTCTTTCTAGGCATAACCCGTCAAATGAATAATTAAACACAGAAGGTGATGAACGCCTAGAAAAGGTCATAAAAGCAGTTTTACTAAAGTTCAGGTTCATTTGCCAGGTTTTACACCACGTACAAAAATTCACGAAAGAATTGTTAAGAGTTATATGGTCATCGGAGGAGTTTATCACATGATATAGTACGCAGTCGTCAGCGTAAAGTCGGACCTTAGTGGAAATACAGCGTGGCAAATCATTGATGTATAACAAGAAAAGTAGCGGTCCAAGAACTGACCCTTGTGGAACACCTGATGATACGTCAACTGTACTAGACTTGGATGAGTTAAAGTAGACAAACTGAGACCGTTGAGAAAGAAAACTGGATATCCAGTTCACAAGGTGATGATTATTTAGAATTAGGTTAAGCTTGTGTAGGAGTTTAGAATTAGGAACTGTGTCGAAAGCCTTTGACAAATCTATAAATATCGCATCAACTTGGTTACCGATGTCAATAGACAGACCGATATCATGAACAAACTCTGTTAGTTGTGTCATAGTACTATAACCGCGTCGCAAACCATGTTGGAAATCGCATAAAATATTGTTAGTATCGAGAAACTCTATTACATGCCTGTAGACTATATGTTCCAATAATTTGCATGAATGTGACGTTATAGAAATTGGTCTATAGTTTGACAGTGATTGTGAGTTGCCAGATTTGTATACGGGAATAATTTTTGCGAGTTTCCATGATGAAGGAACTGTGGCCGTTGACAGTGATTTCTGAAAAATAACCGTGAGATACCGACTGCACCATTGGGAGTACCTGACAATAAATGAATTAGGAATGTCATCAGGACCAGGACATTTTTAGTGTCTAACTTCAAAATCAGGTTTAGTACGCCCCGAACGTTCACATCTATGTCGTCAACCGCAGACTGCGAAACATGAGTAAAAGGAGGAACTTCGAAATTATCAACTGTAAATACTGACTGAAAGTACGTATTAAACGCTGTAGCGATTGTCAGCGCGTCCATAGTAGTTACGTCGTTAATTATAAACCAGTTTGAAGTTGTGCTGCCTGGTAAAATAGATTTCCAGAATTTTCGAGGGTTGCATTTTATTAAGTTTTGTAAGGTAACACGGAAATAGAAGTCCTTCGCGGAATTAGCTTTTAGTCGGAGTTCCTCCTTAGCTTGAATAAACTGAGCAGACTTTACTGGGTCAGCGCAACGTTTTCCACTCCGCAGTCTGCCGACCCGTCGCGATAAATGTAATAATTCTCTCGTTATCCAAGGTTTGACAATGTTACTTTTTTTAGTTTTGAGTGGCACAAATCGCTGGATACACGATTTAACCAAGTCTTTAACCAATAGCAAAGGTAAGACGTAAAGTGAGCGAAATAACTGGGTATCGGTTGTCTCCGTTTAACATCGTAGTGCTGTCGACGAGAAGACTGAGTAACTGCTTTTGAAACGCGTTTTTGTTTACCTGCGGGAGGAAGCTGGCTTCGCAAACAAATGCAGTCCGCGGAAAGCTCGTGCTACGCTTTTATTTGCTGCTTCTCTCACCATGCATAAAAGACGTAGCGTCCTCGTTAGGCCATATTGAGCTTGATTTGCTCGATTAGGGGCTGCCATAATGAGATGCAGGCGACAGAGGAACTTTGCTACCCTGCTTTCAGGACAAAAGTTTCTTCCTTTCCAAGGAACATAGGTTACAAGAGCGTTCCTCCCTTTAGGGAGGACTATAGATGCCCTTTTTTCTGCGAGTGGAGTATTGTTGGCTTTGTAAACAATGCGATCCCCAGGATTTCGTCATCGAACTTTGCGATACCCGCAATGACGATTTTTAAATGCGGCTTATACGGTGGACACGACCACCGCAGCATGTGATCACTCATTTGCCTATCTTCATTCGTTTCAGATGATATTCTTCACAGGATTCGAGTCAGCAACTCCGCCCACATCCTCACCACAGTCAATGAAGCTAAACGATTCAGCGACTTTGGTAACAAGGTGGACGTAAAGGTAGCTACACACTAGCCACTCCGGCAGTCTAAAAGGGTCTCACCGTCACCTGCAAACAGTGAAGGCTATGGTTCCAGTGAGCCATTCAGAGAGCCGGTGGGAGACACGCGACCCTACTCTATTTCACTAGTTGCTGCCGAACCCACGGTGAGAGGAAAACCGCCTTGTACAAGTTTTGAGTTACGGGCTAACAAAAGCGACGCAACTCTCGCCCCTCTTCCCTTGGGAAGGGCGGTCACGTGCGTCATCTCCGTCGTTCTGATTGGCTCGAGGGCGCCGCGGCGTTTGCTCTCTGCCAAGTTGCGGTGGAACGAAGCATTAGCGCCAAAACGTTTCGATGTGGCTTCCTACCGTGACGTCATGACCATGAATTCACCTCGCTGTGACGATACGAGTTGTGACCCAGGTTATTTATCATGAGTTCCGGTGACGCTTTCGAAGATGTGAAAGTACAGTAGAAGTTAGGAGACGTCACGTTATTAAACCAGCTACGCCGAAGTCAAGTCCTAAGGTGCTCTTTTGCCGCTGGTTTAGCGTGAGAAGCCGACCACAAGGCGCTTTGGTTCGCTCACTTCGCTACGAACACTTGGTGCCAAAATTTTACCTAAAGAAGCAGGACAGAAACACCTATACTCCATCAGGTTGGGCTCGTGCTGACCACTATAGTTACAGCGTTCCGCAGACTCATTTCAGTGGTCTGCACTTGACAGCGAAACGTTCAACGACAAACAACTTAAATAAAAAAGAAAACTGATCCGTTACAAAACCGGGGTTGGTTTGTATCTCCCGAGTGTCCCTTCTTTTCTCCGTCGAGGAGCTTTTGCAGGGGTTGTGGTGACGTCAGAACGCCGAGCTCCGATTGGCTCTGATAGACGGACAGTGGGTAGACCTCTAAGCAAGGTGCCTTGAAGTCTACCCACTATCCTCCCATCAGAGCCGATCAAAGCTCGGCGTCTTTATGACGTCAGCACAACCCCTGCAAAAGGAGCAGACGAACTTGCGCTACGCATTCGATGTGCACGCCGGGAAGTAATCTCCAAGATTTCTTCCCCGCGCGAAGAACACCGCTTGAAATGACACGATGTGGCAACCAATGACACGTGTTCAACGCTTTCAGGGTTACTTCTCCGTAGGAACCGCTCTGGGTTTTGTCTCCATATTGGACTTCAAGAAACTGAACGAAGACACTTTCCAGGAATTTCCCGTGTCCGACGTGAAGGAGGAAGTCGTCGCACTGTTGTTCACATCGGGAACGACGGGTAGCCCGAAGGCCGCTGAACACACGCACTACAGCATCGTGGCCTCTTTACCTCGTCCCGGGTGGGTTCTAACTTATGTTTGTGCGCTCGGAGGCGCGCTACAATTTATCGTACTTTTCTGGAACCTACTGTCAGCCATTACGGATGACAGGAACTGCCAAAAAACAACAAGAACAACAAAACACGATTTAGTACATTTATTACCTAAAATGCCCACTAATTTAATTTCAATTAGTGAAAATAAAGGTGTGATTTCAATTATAAACGTGATGAGCGTGATCGAAAACCGCTATATTAGTCACCTTTAGAGCAAAGGGATAACTTCAGCGCACGCACGTGCTTCTCACGTTATTCAAGTAGTCCTAAAATTAATTTATTTGGGGGTTTTCGTTGATGCTCAGCAAGTTTCTAATCTTAACCTTATGTTCATTTTAATCCATTAGAAAACCAATTAGTAAGCTTTAGGCCATTATAGGTTGCTTTCACCAAGCGTACAGCGCATTCATCAAACCGCCATAACCTAGGTTCAGAAGAAGCTGGCTGAAGAAGCCAAGACTGCTCGTGCCGCCTCGAGCGCTACTCGCGCGGAGTTCCAGCAAGGTTCGTGCACCTGCAGAAAGACTTAAGTTCCCTCGATGCATTGGGGCAGCGGTGGCGTAGTCAAACTGGCTGTGAGATGGTTTATTAGTATGTCTTTGCTATTCCTGACGTACGGCGTGGCTTGTTCCTGATAATAGATAATTGTTTTTAGAACGCAGAGGCGCCCGTTTTTGGGATGAGCGGCGGCGGCGTAACCGCGCGGTGCATTATGGGTAAATTTCCCCGCTAAATCTAGCGGAAAATTTTCCCCGCTAAATCTAGCCGAATTTTTCTTTCGGGGGGGGGTCATGTGAGCCCCCCACCGGGGTCACGTGACCCCCAACATGACCTCGGGGAGGAGGGGGGTCACGTGACCCCCCACGTGACCTCCTTCCTCCCCGAGGTCACGTGACCCCCGAGGCCCGTGACCCCCCAAAGTCACGTGACCCCCCCCCCCCCCCCCCCGAGAACACGTGGCCCTCACTACCCTTCCCACCTCCTCCTCAAGAGCTGTGCCCTAATTCGGCATTACAGGGAGTTGTAAACGGATTTCATTTTAGAGCGCAGCTCTTAGACGCCCGTTCCCGGCTTGAGCGGCGTCGACGTCGCCGTAACCGCGAGTAACCCTCGTAACCCTCGTGAGGGTTACGAGGGTTAATCTCACGAGGGTTACCCTCACGAGCATCACAATGGCTACGAGAGTTAGTTACCCTCGAAAGGGTTACCTCCACAAGGGTCACGAGGGTTACCCTCACGAGGGTCACAAGGGTTATGAGAGTCACCCTCACGAGGGTCACGAGAGTTACCCTCACGAAGGTCACGAGAGTTACCCTCACGAGGGTCACGAGAGTTGCCTTCACAAGTGTTACTAGGGTTACCCTCACGATCGTCACGATGGTTACCCAGGTCACATGACCCCCCGGGGTCTTGTGACCTGGCGATACCCCCCGAGGCCACGTGACCCCCTGTTGACGTCATCGCCACTGATGACGTCGTCAGTGACGTCAGTGATGACGTCAGCGGAATCCGGATCGTCGTCGGTATCATGACTGATGACGTCACCGGCATCCGGATCGTCATCATCATCATCATCACTGATGACGTCACCAACATCCGCATCGTCATCATCATCATCACTGTTGACGTAATCAGTGACGTCACTGATGACGTCATCAGTGTGACGTCATCCGCATCGTCACGTGACCCCCGACATGACGTGACACCCCAAGGTCACGTGACTTCCACAAGGTCACGTGACCCCCCCCCCCCCCGAGGTCACTTGACCCACCCCCCAGTACCCTTCCCTCCTCCACCTCAAGAGCTTCGCTCTAATTCGGCGTTACAGGGAGTTGTAAACGGCTTTCATTTTTTTTCAGCCACCCTACTTTTAGGCGTTTTCGAAAGTATTTTTATAAACCTCCAGTCTAAAATTAGGATAACGCACTAGACAACGCGTCAGTACAGGATCTAATTCTCCCCAAGCGGTAGAAACAGCTCTCTTCCGAGAGGACGTATATGTGCATATCGCGCTGCTTTCGAGGGAGAGGGCAGCCTCCGACGCACCGAAATACCGGATTCGCCAAGACAGAAGAGACGGCTGTCTCCACTGTTTCGAGGGCTGCCCACGACGATAGATGGCGGCGACCCATCCCTCTCAATTCACAGAAGAAATCGCCGAGGCTGCGTACGTCCAGCCGTTCCTACCACGCAAAAGCTGTCGGCGCCAAAGTTTTTGGATTTTCGCAGAGTCAGACGTACTCGCTATAATTCCGCTTCGCATTAAATCCTACCACAGCCGATGCCACGATCCGATACAGGGTGATTCCACGAGAGATCGAACCTGCAGGTCCACTCAAGATTTTTTTTATTTTTTCTGTTCTTTTTTTTAATATGGTGATGTACACACAAATGAATCGTACGAAACTGAACTTTTTTTTTTCTCGAAAACGCGTTTTCACTAGGAGAACAATTTTTTTTTTCAAGGTTGCGCGACGGCCCAGCTCCCACCGCGGACTGCATTAGGTGCCACATTTGCGGTCCTGTGGAAGGCAGGCAAAACACGGTAGGCAAAAACTGTTTCCCGTTTCATCTAGTACACCAAAGTTTAAGTCAACTGCGTGCAAATATTATGTTCTTTATTAATTAAAACAATATATAAAAAATCAGAAATTTAGAACAGGCGCAACAAATACATCAACTTTCAGGCCTTCTACCTCAATATGTATGGCATTAGTGTCCTTGAGAACTATACATAATATAGGCCAGCGAATCTAAACTATACCTGCAAATTATGAGCTTGCAATGAAAATAGAAGCATAAAAAAATATATTCTGAAAAAACACATTTTCAAGAAGATACCCATATTGAAAAAACAAAGTAAAAAAAAAACCCGGTCTTTATTTTATTCAACTTCTGGAGTACAACTCTCCTTAGGCCAAGCAAAAAGAATGTACAAAAACATGTTGCATCATTTGCTTGCTACAAAAGTTCTGAGCGGTCAAAGTGGCGGTTGCGAGGCGTCTTGACTCCCGCGTTTTTCGCTTCACCCCGCTGTTTTTTTTTTTATTTTTTGTTTTTTTTTTATAGGAGAAGTAGTTTTTTTTGCCACAAATAAGATATTTATGTGTTGTAGCTTGCTGTAATAAAAAAAACATATTTCCTGATTTCCAGACTTGGACTTCGCATGGCTCATTTATTAAAACTGTAAGAAATAAAATAACGACGCTTCGGGTACAAGGCTACGGGTCACTTACGTTACGGCGAAGCCAAGGAGGAGGTTTATTTACGTTTATCAGCGGTCGCCGTCGGTGTCAGGAGCTACTAAGATATTTGAGCTCACGTTTGCCGCGGGGCGAACGTAGACACCCCCCTTGGCTCCGCCGTAACATAAACGCTTCGTACCCTTGTACCCGAGGCGTCGCGACTCTGCTCTCTATAGTTCTAATAAACGAATAAACGAAACTGGAGTAGACTTTAGCCTACTCCTTGGGCCTCTTTCCTTGGGCCTAAAAACGTAACAACGATAAAGTGACCATATTCCTTGGGACCCAAAGCGAGACGCGTATCGGGGTGGGATCACACCTTTCTATTTTTTCCTATTCACCGTGCGCATTTCTTTTCCTTGCAATTTGCATACTGTTTGGCATGCACATCTAATACATTTGGTTGGAATATTTCTTTAGTAATAATGTATTTATTTTTGTATAGTATACCCATAGTTCTGTTTACATGTCATACGTAAATTAACCTTCAGTATCCTCTCTGTCGAGCATATCTTGTTCTTTGATCAGAGAAAGCACCCTCTCACTGATGCGATACATTCGTTTAACCGCATCTTTTATTTATTCGCCGTCCGGAGGAGCCGAAGCGGGACAAAGCGCCGTCCCACAAGCACATTGCCGGGACAGTGCATGGGACCACGGCCGGAAAACCGGAACCTGTCCCACCTAAATCGGGACGTCTGATCGCTTTAAACAACGACTAAATATGACGACTCGTCAACGCCTCCCCTTGAAGAATATTGGGAGAATCCACAACTCTGGGCGTATCAACGTGGATTACTGCGACAGTTTACATAGACTCTTTTCAAATGCGCCGTGGCAGAGTTGGTGTCGGCGCGTCATTGATGTCATCTGGACGTTTGTGTGTCTGTGCGTGTACGTCCAGGAAAGGCACAGATGCAGAGGTTCACTGCACGTGAACTTTGACTCTGCCTGGTTCGTGGCCACTGGCGTTGGTCGTCAGCGGGGGATCTGCTTGCTCGCAACAGCATTGCGAAACCTTCGGGCTTCAGTTGGTTTGGTGGCGCAGACGAAGCAACGGGAGAGGCGACAGGCGTCGCCGTTGTCCACTCAATGCACTCAGCACATCGCTCAGTTTTTTTTCACTGATTACCTCCGCGTTCACAACAAGAAGATACCTTCCAACAGAAATTTTCACAGTGTCAAGCGTTTAGATGTTGAATTACTGCGGACGCTGCATGCAACCAGGAACTGGTGATTTGCAGGATACAGAACAGCAAGTCTGCCAGCACCACTTTGGGGCGCCTGAAAGTGCTATTCTCATCGACCGGCACACCTGATGAAACCAACGAGACATTTCTTCAGGAAGAAAAAGCAGTCAATAGCCTGAGTTTTTGTTTCCAACGTTTTTCCGTTGAAGCCCGCATATTCCATTCGCAAGCGGCTCAAAAGATGTAATAGCAAGAGAAAAGGCGCAGAGATTGAAAGGAAAGTGTTGGCAAAAATACGCGGAAGTTGAAGTATCGCCTATGTACTTAAACATGAGCGTATTTTTGTCAACATTACCTTTTCAATCTCTGCCTGTTTTAGATTAGATTTTCTGAGCCGTTTCCGAATGGAAGATGCTGGCTTCAACAGAGAAACTTTGGAAAGTTGGGCGTACCTGGTCAGGTCATTGACTGCTTTTCTTCCTGAAGAAATGTCTCGTCGGTTTTATCGAGTGTGCCGGCATATGAAGATAGGAGCGCCTTGACGCGCCCAAAACAATGCCGGCAGACCTGGTCTGTAACCAGCAAATCACCAGATCCGTGTAGCAGGCAGCGTCCGCAGTAATTCAACATCTAGACGCTTGACACTGCGAAAATTTCTTTTGGAAAGTATCTTCTTCTTGTGAACGCGGAGGTAATCGGCGGAAAAAACCCTGAGCTGTGTGCTGCGTGCATTGAGTGCACAACGGCGACGTCTGTCGCCTCTCCCGTTGCTTCGTCTGCGCCGCCAAACCAACTGAAGCCCGAAGGTTTCGCAATGCTGTTCCGACCGTCGAGACCCCACGATGACGACCAACGCCAGTGGCCACGAACCAGGCAGAGTCAAATTTCACGCGCAGTGACCCTCTGCATCTGTGCCTTTCCTGGGCGTACACGCACAGACACACAAGCGTCCAGATGACATCACTGAGGCGCCGACACAAACTCTGGCACCGCGCGCATTCGAAAAAGAGTCTAGCCGAGCTGTCGCAGTAATCCACCTCGATGCGCCCAGAGTAGTGGATTCTCCAAATATTCTTCAAGGGGAGGCGTTGACGGGCCGTCATATTTAGGTCGTTGTTGCGTTTTTAGACGTAAGGAAAGAAGCGCATGGAACTCTCCGTGCCAGAGCTAGGCTGAGGTCTACTCGAGTTTCGCTTATTAGAACTATAAAAAGCAGAGTCGCGACGCCTCGGGTACAAAGGTACGGGGCGCTTATGTTACGGCGGAGCCAAGGGGAACGAGTACGTTTGCCCCGCGGCAAACGTGAGCTCAAATATCTTACTAGCTCCTGACAGCGACCGCGAATCATGTATATCGCGTGGCAAACGTAAATGAACCTCCTTCTTGGTTTCGCCGTAACATGAGCGCCCCGTAGCCTTGTACCCGAGGCATCGTTCTTTTATTCCGTGCAGTTTTAATAAACAAGACATGTGAAGTCCAAGCGCGATTAAGGAGCGTAAACAATCATGAGTGCTCGTTAACAACCTCAAGAAAAAAAATTGGAATATGTTTATTTTATTACAGCAAGCTACAGCACATAAATTTCTTATTTGTGGCAACAAAAACAATTACTTCCTCTAAAAAAAAAAGAAAAAAAAAAAAACCTTAGCGGGGTGAAACGAAAAACGCGGGAGTCAAGACGCCTCGCAACCGCCACTTTGACCGCTCAGAAATTTTGTACCAAGCAAATGATGCAACATGTTTTTGTACATTCTTTTTGCCTGGCCTAAGGAGAGTTGTACCACAGAAGTTTTATTAAAATCGAGACCGGTTTTTTTTTTATTTTGTTTTTCCAATATGGGTATTTTCCTGAAAATGTGTTTTTTCAAAGTATATTTTTTCTATGTTTCTATTTTGATTGGAAGCTCATAATTTGCAGGTTTAATTTAGATCCCTTGGCCTATATTATGTGTAGTTGTGAAGCCCGCTGTTGCCATATATATATTGAGGTAAAAGGCCTGAAATTCGGTGTATTTGTTGCTCCTGGTCTAAAGTTATGAATTTTTTATTTATTTTTTTTATTCATAAAGAACATAATATTTGCACGCAGTTGACTTAAACTTTGGTGTACAAGATGAAACGGGAAACAGTTTTTCCTACCGCTTTTTTCCTGCCTTACATAGGATCGCAAATGTGGCACCTAATGCAGTCCGCAGTGGGAGCAGGACCGTCGCGCAATCTTGAAACATTTTTTTTTCTCGTTGTGAAAACGCGTTTTCGAGAAAAAAAAAAAGTTCAGTTTCGTACGATTCATTTGTGTGTACATCACCATATTAAAAACAGAACAGAAAAAATAAAAAAAATCTTGAGTGGACCTGCAGGTTCGATCTCTCGTGGAATCACCCTACAGCAAATCAAGCCGAGCGCCAAAACTGCATCGTCGCTTAGCCGATTTCGAGAGTTTTAGGTAACCGCTTTTACAGATCCTCCGGTACGAACTGCGCATGCCCTACCTCAGAAGACTCGCGCCTGCACAGTTCGTACCGGAGGGCCCACCGTACCCTATCGGATGTGCACAAACGGTTCCCTAAAACTCTCTATCATCTCTGCGCGCTTACTGTAACTGACCAAACGGATACTGTGCAGTAAATGTGCTGCGTTCCTGTGCTTCTTTCTGTGCGTGCGCGTTTTGCTGACTCACGACATCGCCCCGCTCTATCGGCAGCGAGCTTCGCTTCCTCCGCTCTCTCTTGAACCGACGTCGCAAAGCCGTCACTCCGTCGCGAAGCAGACGCCGCACTCTTTCTTCGGCACCAAAGGCCCAATACACGGGACATGACCTGCACGTGACGTCATCGTCTGTGTATCCCCGACCTGCTCCCAAGCGGCAAACACGCCGAAGCTCAGGGAGAGACGCCGCAAAGCTAGCGGGCGAACGTTCGTTTGGGCGTCGCCGAGCTCCTTGGGAGAGTCTGCGAGAGACGCTGGTGTCAGGGCCACAATGCTTACTCATGCTAGGTGGCGCTGCCTTGATCTACTATAGTGGTGACGTAAAGAGAGCGGGGGCGGGGAGGTGAGGTGGCGCAGGCTTTGTGTTTCTTGTGGTATTGGCGGAGCTTGCACACTCTGAGAAAAAGTGAGCACCCCCCTAGTCATCATGCGTTTTGACGGCTTTAACTACCCATTGGGCTCGAGCCATTGAGCGTTACCACCCTGTTGGCAGGTGACATGCATGGGATAGTCACGTTTTATAAGCTTTTGAATTAAATATTCAAGTGCATGCAGTCGTTCAATAGTAAAAGTCACTTCAAAAATGTCAAAAAGTACTTGAAACTTGTTTTCTCTGTTCGTTGGTTACCATTTATTCAAATTTGAACCGGTCGAAAGAGGCGTGTGCCTCAGTTCGCCTAAACTGGCAGAAAACAAACATTTCCAAAGAGTTCAGACAACCTTGGTGGGCACCTACTAAAACCCGAGGCAGATAAAAAGTATCGCGGTTGTCCTTCTTGGTTCTGTCGCGGGTTTTACCCTGTACTGCTAGTAAACGTAGTAAACAGCTGGCAGCTGGCGTCCTGCTCTAGGAATTTAAACAAATCTCTAGAAAAGCACAGGAAGCTACGCACGGGCGTGAGTGGACTGGAATGTTCGCCGGGCGAGATACTTTTGTCATCTTTTATTATGTGCTTCAGTAAAGAGTGTGCTCTCATTAAAGGTGTGATCGGTCAGTTCTGCGTGCAGATCAGTTGCAAATGGCCTCCTCGGTTCCGCCGAACTTGCAGGCCTGTCATACCCAATTTTTTTTGCTTTCAACTGCAGTGAAGTATGAAGCATTGAACACCACGACTGAGACTGGACAGGACGAACGTACACAGATATCTGGGATCATACCCGTGTATTTCTGTATTTCTCTGTCTTGGGATATATGATTCGCCTTCACTGACTCATTTGGCACATTTCATCGAGAATACTCTATAAAAAAATGCTTCAAACAAATGTGTGTCATCAAAGGTGGAGTGCTTTGAAGAGGACTAGGATTTCAGGCCTTTCGGCACGCTCTACTTTTACCTATATAAAAGATTCCAAGTAAATTTCCAAAAATAAGGCGTTGGTAAACATACACGTGCTATTGGGTTTAGGTTTTATTTTTTTTAGAAAAAGTATTGTTGGAGAAGCCATCAGGTGCAGCGCACAGAACTATGTTCTCGGCGTTTTTTGATGATTGAGGCCGGTTCAGACAATTGCGTTTGAATGTGTTTGACAGCATTGCGTCGAGAACCGAAGGCGACTCACCTGCACATCTGTGCTCCGCATGAAGCGTGGGATCCAATTCGAAGGAATCGTCTTGGCACGCGATATAAGTAGCAGGGATGTCCTGGTTTCTCGCTGCCGCAACGCAGTCAAATGCAACTGTTTGAACCAGGCTTTAGATAATTTAGCATACGTATTTCGCGTTCACTGTCGGTGAATGCACGGATGTGAAAACGGCAATTCTGCACTGTCCTCTTGGCGTGAGCGCGAGCGCATAGAATGTATATTTGAAAGACACGTGCTTGAGCAGAAACAATCGTAGCGAAAACAAGAAAACTGAAACAACGCTTCAGGAAGGACCGGCGGACGGGCTTCGCTAGAATCATCTGCGCGTGCTCAGTGTACTCAACAATTACTCAACCGCCGCTGAAGTCATCGGATATGTAAAAAGAGAAAAGAAAATGCATTAGCGTGTTCAGAAAGTTGTGATTTCAGAAATTTGTTTCGATAATTAAAACAATTAATTAAACAGGCTTCTGTATACTTGAAGTGTCGGCAAGCGAGAAAACAAAACTGATCAAAACGTGACGTGTAGCGACTATTCAATTCGATTTATAACCCGCAGTTCACGTTTGCAATGGATTACATTAGAGATAGAGCGCTTTCCTAAGGGAAGTAGAGGAAAATAATATATACGGATAAGTCTTGTACAGTCTTTTCGTATTTATGCAAAATATGACAGTGGTCACCATCCTAATTGGTCACAGAAAATACAGCAGTATATAAGCTGGTGGTGCCGACTAGTCGCGTGTATAGTAATGTAGAGCGTCAATTTCTTGAATTGTACCTTGTGCTGTTTGTGGACGCCTACATGTATAATAATCGTTGTTGTCTGTATGTCGCGTAGGTGTGTGGTGTGGGTGCATGTCTGGCGAGACGCTCAGAGCAAAAACTATTGGTTTCTTTTTTCCTAGTTTCAGCGCTATCAGTTAGGTGGCGCGTGTCGCCACCCAATTCAAGGAGTCGCGCGTTCATGTGTCTACTTATTTGAGTGAAAAACATGGAGGCGTTCCATGGCTCCACGGAGCAGCCACAAGGGTTCGATTCTCAGCCTCTCGTCCCAGTGGGATCAGTGACATAGCCAGTTGAATGGTGTTCCGTCCTGTGAATAGCGCCAAGTGCGTGCACAGACGCGGTGGGGATTACCAGGGACTTGCAATTAGATAACGAATGCTAACAGGTGAGCAGGAGCGTTGAACGATCGGAACCGGCGCCGCTTGAATCGGTGATGCCTCGCGTCGCCGCTGTCAACCGAAAACGCCGGATCACTTCCGACAAGCACAGCAAGCAGATTGTCTGTTCAATAAAGGCATCATTTCATTTGTCGCTATACGAATCCTTCTTTGAATGTTTTCTGGCCGCGAAGTAAATGCAGCCGGCCGCGCGAAAGCAGCCCTCGAAAGCCCCCCCCCCCCCCCCTCACATCGCCGCCCCTACCGGTAATAGGTGCGGTGCCGGTGCTTCGAGGTGCGTCTTGGAGTGCTTTAGTGCGCACGGAAGGAAGCTAACGAACGTACGCGCTTCAGAATCGTATTTTAGCAAAAAGCAGTCCAGCTCGCTAGGCCTTACTCGTATTGCTCCGCTGTCGCTTGCCAGCCGCCATGTTGCTTTTGGGGGTACTCACTGTGACTACCTGTTGATTGCATGCCGTGTGACTACCCATGGGGTCGTCTGTGTTACTCAGGGGGGGGGGGGGGGGGGTAGCGATATCTGTGACGGCTCCTGACTACCCTAAATGTAGTACCCTACGACTACCCTTTTGTTGAGAATGCACTCTAGTCACATTTGCAAGCTGCCACGGTTCAAAACCTTCTCTGGCCACCGTGAATGGAATGTGCTTTGTTTGGGCGGCACTCTGGCAACCTACACGCAAGCCGCAAGGTGGCGGCATCCAGAGGCGGTACCTTCAGACTTCTATAAACTAACACACAAACAACACCAACAACAAACAATATACGGCGTGTAACCCTGAAACAGAATTGTTTTTTTTTCCTTTTTTTAAAGCAATAACAATTACTACGCATTGCCGAACACTCATTCTCCATCATTCTTCGCCAAAACCTAGCGCTAGCGGTCCCCATCAGATGTCAAAGTTTCAGCACTATCCTGTATCTTATTCAAACCTAGAAGTTATTTTCTGAAAATTTCACTAAGAAAATGGGGCCCAATTTTGTCCGTTTTTGGTAACTAGCGTAACTGGCACCATAGAGCTCCAAGTATTTGAGGGCTCTGTCGGCCGCCACTTTTCCCGCTTAAAATGGCAGAAAGTCAAGTATAACTGTTGAATAATACAACGGTTAGTACTGAAACTTTTGCCTGTGGTTCGAACCGCTAGCACTCCATTTGGGCGTAGAATAAGAGATCAGCGATGCAAAGTTTACATTTCGAAATGAAAAAAAAGAAAAAAATCTTGTAAACCTTTTTTGGTGGGGACACCATGCGCGATACTCAACGCAATGCACATTACACAACAAAGAATATACACCAAAAAACAAAGAAACCCTCGTCTGCTCACACCAGCTGCATCAGTCAGTCGCGTCAGTGAATGTACGAGACATCGACATAGCATGCACATCAGGGAACCATCTGCCAAAAATGGTTGTTTTAAATTTAGTTTCTTTCGTAGGGCAATAAAGGATGGAACCAACTCCCGAATTCCCTCGTCACTATGACAAATGTCTGTGATTTTGTTAAAAATATAAAGAGTATAGTGTTTGATAATATGCCGTGACTTTGTGTTTTGATAGTATCTTTTGCTTGTCTATTCCTCCGGGTGAATTTCTTTTTTGAAGTGTCAGTACATGATTGTTCTTTTACATGTTGTATGTATTACCACTCCTGTAAAGGCCTTGTAAAGGGCCGACAGTATAAATAAATAAATAAATAAATAGGTAGAGAGTACGTTACCAAGTACATCGCGCGTACACTGTGACGTGTTGGTGTTGTAGTATCAATAGTCGTCTTACAGAATCAGTTCTTAAGCTTTTGTTTTTTTGTGTGTGTTTCTTCTTTTTTCTCCTTCAAAATGTTAAGGTCTTCTCAACCATCCATCAACCACCACGTTGTGGCTTCCTGCGTACCTATATCATCGACTTTTGCGTTCCGGACGTATCTGGGTTGCATCACCTCTGGAGCGAAGACTGTCCTTTTATCGAAATCTGCCGATGCAAACGAAATTGTGGATGCATTCAGGAAATACAAGGTATATTACACGCAAACTATATTTAATATGCTAACAGGGCGGCGTGATATTTAATCACGCGATTTTCTAGCCGCGTGTACCTCACGAGCAATTAGTGAGAAATTTCTGAATTAAAAAGAAACAACAGGGAAAGCCAATGTAAAACTTATATTGGCCAAACAAAAAAAAAAGGTACTCAAAATTACACTGAGTTGTATAATTTAGAATTGCAGCAATGTGGAAAGCCAAGGTGTGACTAAATTTAAGGAGATCTAAATTATTTTATATTTAATAATTCACAAATCTGTACACAGATTTTTGGCGATCACCGGGCACCGGTCATTGCCAAAACGCATTCCGTTTTTGAATGAACCTTCTTTTCTTCTGAGATTTCACTCTGTGTAGAATCGTGTTTGGTGTTGCCGTATGTTACCCTGCAAAGCTAAATTCTTGCTGAAACGCCCGCTATTGTGCTTCCCGATGCACTATACGCGGAAAGCCGTGAACCAACTGTCACAAGTAAGTTTGTCTTGTTTTCCGCGGGATAAACATCGCTGCCGTCACCGTGGCTCATGAATGGCGAAGCAATCATGTTTTGTTGGCGAAACGTAGCCATGTCGATGAAACGTCGTTGAGATTCAAGTATGAAACGTGTGTCGATGAGTCTTTCATTGGCGCGAAAGGACGCCGAGTCTCCCAGGCCAGCAGGATTTTCATTAGCATATTAATTTCTTTAACAGAATGTTATCAAGAAATAACAGCCTTTTATATCCCATATTTATTCAGTTTTGTCTATTAATGTGGGAATATGTACGCTTTTAATAGATAGGCCAAATTATAAGAAAAGTTAACTGTTTAAAAATCAATCCAGAGTTATGAACCCCACAGCAGCAATATGTTTTTGTTTCAATGCATTATCTTTTACAGATGTCCCAGGGCTAATAAACTAAGGGCGATAGAACAATACTCTTAGGATGCTGGTTAACACCCTACAAATCTAATTTGTAGGGTGTTAACCCTACAAATTAATGTGTTAATGTAGGGTTAACACCCTACAAATTAGTGTTAATACACTAAATTAAATTAAATTAGTCCTAAGAGTATTAACACTAAATTAGTCTTAATACTCTTAGGATGCTGGTTAACACCCTACAAATCTAACCTGCCCCTATGTATATTTTTTACATGCAAGAAGCACAACGTGCAGTTTTCACATACAAAGAAAAAGCAAATACAGATTTAATGAATCACGCTTGAGGAAGGAGTCACGAGCTTGATGATTATTCTACGCCCACGCCGAATGTTTCTTAGAATTGTTAAAAACAATCATAGAAACAAGATGCATAAAAAAATTCCCAGGACACCTAAGCACTTTTTGTGAGTTGTGAACCTTACTGAAAAATATTTTTTACCGGAATGCAATTTCCAGTAAAAGTTTATTTTACTGGATTATGGGACTGTTTTCACTTACAGTAAAGCCGTAGATTACCGGAATGTCACCAGATTGTTTACCAGAATGTCACCGGATTTCTACCGGAAGTTTATTCCAAGTAAAAATCTATTTCACTAGATTTCGGGACTCTTTTCACTTCCAATAAAGCCAGAATTTACAAGAAGATCACCTGACTGGCCGGAATTTACCGTGTTTTTTCTTTCTTTTTTCGGACGTTAAGCAAAGGCTTTTAGGAGGAAGCCTGTGAACCGTGGTTGGTGTATGTTTACCAGGTGCTGGACGATTCGGTAACAATTAAAGTGGTTAGTCCATAGAGACCTGAAGGTTGATGTATTTATTTAACAGGGTTGATACCAGTGAAACGATTTGCACAGACGTACACAAAAGCAATCAGACCAAATAGGAACAACCGAGTTCTTTGTCGCAAAAGATATCTTTCAAGTACTCACAATGCCGCTGGGTAAATTCCTAGACGTACGGTAGTTGAACTAATAAAACCGTGCAGATGCACCACACGGACACACACACGTATACTGTTAGTAGCACGTCTAGTGAAAACCACTACCGCGCGGAACGAACATCCGCCGCCGTGAAGAGATCCCGGGCACACTCACGATGTCGTCCCCGGTGCCGTCGCCGTGGGTGCACCAGGCGGACACATACACATTGCTACTGGCACGCTTAGCGAAAACCACGAACGCGCGAAACGAACATCCGCCGACGTTGAGAACTCTTGGGCAGAGTCTTTTTTGCTTGCTGAATGCTTCTGAAGCCGGACGGACAAAGAGGCGTAAGAAACAGGTCACTGAACAATATATCTTTTTTTCATCTGTACACCCAGCTGCTTTGGAAGATACAGGTCGCACACATGGAACGAGAAGCCGAGGCTCAGCGTTCGTTCCTGGCCGGCCGTTGCTCGTTGACGGAAAAGAAGCCGGTTTTCTTCAGAAAAAAAAGTCAGCAAAACGACCCTCTTGCATTTTCCCCATGAATCCAATGCGAGGGAGAGAGGGTGCGTGGGGACTCGTCCTTGGTGCGAGGCACCATAATTACACGCCCAGTCCCCGGCTCGTCTCGGTTTCCCCCTCCCCTCGCGTCGGCTTCGAGTGAAGTTCGGTAAACAGGGAAGCGATCGGTCACAAGTCTTGGGTAAGATTTATAGCAAAACCGGGTCGTCTCGTAAACGAAAGTGGCTGCCGGTGACGTTCCAGCGAAATCTGGAAACCCGATGCCGGTGAAATTCCAGCGAAATCTGTTTGCCCGCAAATAATCCAGCAAAGACTGGTAAACTCGTTTCGGATGAAAGCGGGGGAAAGCCCCCACTTTTCTGGATCGTCGAAACAGTTCGCTGCACGCACTTCTTGAGGATTGCAACGTCGTCCCGAGCTAAAACTCCCACTCACGAGAATGCCGCCCGAGTGGTCTCGTACCTGCTCTGGCCCCGACTTCTGCCTGTCGCAAATAGCAAGTTGCCGGTGATCGCTGCCCACCTTTTCGGGTCGTCAAAACAGCTCGCTGCACGCGCTTCTTGCAGGATTAGAACGTCGCCTCGAGCTAACACACGCACTCACGAGAATGCCACTGCGTTTGCGGCCACCATTACAAACTCAGTCCTTCTGCTCCTCTTGGTTTCCTTGCCTTTAGCCGTTCCCCTTGCGTCAACTTCCAGTGAAGTTCAGTGTCCGTCAAACGAGGGTGACTTCCGGTAGGATTCCAGCGACGGGTAATCGAAAGCGGTTCTAGTAAATCTTCCAGCGAAAGTTGCTGCCGGTAATATTTCCACCAAAGACTGGTAAACTACGCTGGTTTCTGGTGAAAATGAGTGGAAATTAACCCGTTTCCACCGAATGTCACTGGAAGTTTTTGACAGATTTTAACCGAAAGTGGCTCCGGGAAAACGTTTACCGAAGTCTGGTCACCGAAAGTGGTGACTGGTAATATTTCCACCAAAACACTGGTAAACTACGGTGGTTTCTGGTGAAAATGAGTGGAAATTAACCCGTTTTTACCGAGTATCACTGGAAGTTTTTGTCGGATTTTTCAATAGAAGAGCAAAAAGTAATCTATAGGGATTACAATTACTTCTGGTTAAGAAGTATTCAATTAGATTACTCGATTAAAAGAAAAAAAAAAGGAAATTGACCGTTACTCGAAAAAGGCAACCGTTGCTTCTCCGATTACATCAGATTTTCCAAACGACATATTTTTCTTCCGGTTTCGAAAACGGGTCTATCGTACTCTCCATTAATGGATTAGAATCACCAAACTAGAAACTACTGATATTCTGAAACCGTCAATTTGAATAAACTAATCTTTGCCGGAGTCTTGATTTGAGGTTTCATTGGTTGAAAACTTTTAGAAACAAAGGGCACCATTAGAGAAGGAAGAAATAACTAGTAACAGTTCCAAGTAATGTTAGTCCTTCCAAACGAAATCACATTACTCTTGCGATTACTTCCTAATGAATGCAATCAAATTATTACAAAAAATTCTAAAATGTTACAAGTGATTGCTTGCAATGAGCACTATACAAGTCTGTTTTACTTGTGTAATTCCTGACGTTTGCCGTGATTGGCAGTTTCCTCCCGAAAAAATTTCATTTTTTCCCACACCCTCTCTATTTGTACAGATTCTTAAAAGTATTCCCCGAAACACCTGAGGAAATACTCGACCATCCAGAGGCACTCCTTTTGAGATGACGGCCTCTGCAATTACGAATGTTACAAGTACAGAGAGTTTTTACAATCAAGAAAATTACAAAGTTTCTTTCACGCAAAAAAAATAAAAAAATAAACCGTATGCATTGCTTAAAGCTCATTGTACGCCCAAATGTAGCGCCAGTGACCCTAGACCAGATGATAATTAATATCGGCACTCATCGCTATCTCATTTAAAGCTTATGAATTAATTTTCTTTTAATTTTAAATGTCAAAACGGCGGTTGTTTGTATGATCGAATACACTGTGGGAGATCTACGGCGCAAGTAAGCGAAGACGGACAAAAATTGGCGTAATTTTTCGCTGACGCTACGCAAAGAATTGTATGCTATACTTAAAGTTCAAGTAGTGTATTCCCAAGTAATGAGCATTGGTACATGCAATACTTATTTGACATTATCGCTAAAACAACTTCCGCTATAGCATTCTTAAAGGGTAACTACAAAGAAAAAAAAGCGTTTATTTTTAAACAGCCTAATCGGGACAAACATGTCACAAAACAAATGTTCCGCGAAAAAAAAAAAATTTTTAGCTATATTTACGCCACAGGACATAATTTAGTCGGAGTCAGAACATCTCCACATTTGAAACTCCCGCTCTTTCGACCGCCGCGGAGGAGAACTAAGCACCGCCCCTCACTCTTGGATTTTCTCTTTTTTATTGACTTGGCTGCTGAGTTGAACCAGCTGAACCATAGAGTTATTATAATGTACGCTAGAGGTTCAACTGGCGCTAGTGTGCTGTTGCAAATTGAAGCAGACAGCAAGCAGTCCGAAATTGACTTCCGGTAATGCATTTCTATGGAAAAAAGCGAGTGCATTTCCTCTCTGCGCTCGATTATAAGAGCAAAT